GTTTCTGATGTGATTCTATATTGATACCCTGGGGTATCAATATAACTAATCACATACTATGACTGTTTGAAAAATCACCCTTTTTTAACATGTTGGCTAGCATTTAACCCTTTTGGGGCCCATTTATGCAAAAAAATTTTTGGAAAAGTGACTGGTTTCTGATGGTGGATTTCCTATATTTGATACCCCCTAATAGGGGGTATCAAATATAGGCAAATCACCATTAATTAATTGACTGGTTTTGAAAAAACTGCCATGTTTGAAACATGTTGGTTATACATTTTACCACCTCAGAGATGCATTGGTGTAAAAAAATATTTTTGGATAATTGACTGGTTTCCAATGGTGAATTTCTTATATTTGATACCCCCTAATGGTGAGGGTGTGGATTTGAACAGGACACTGACATCTTGTGCGGAACCAAGCCGTCCCGCAGAGTCAAATTCTGCATCAGACAAAGAGTTTTCAAGCCCACCACAGAGCGGCATAGTTACACAAGCCCCTCCAAAGAAGGACTCTGAGGTGATGCTCTTGTTCAAACGTTGTGAACCCTTCATAATTCCCTTGAAGTCCCAATGTCAGTGTGTTGGAACTTGGTGGGGCAAAGCCCCTTGCATAAAGCACAAGCTTTCCAAGAAGAACTTGGTGGAGAGCCTGCATGGCCACTGGCCGGGCTGCCCATACACCTAACTCAGAACCAAAGTGCAAAGTTTGGCATGAGAGGTTGGGGGCTTGTAATATGGCCTGAGTCTACTTAAGCAGCACAAGTTCAATCTGTATTTGCTTCTCTCCATGGGTGAAGACAGTGGCTGGTGGTTTTGGGTCCCAAATATAGTATGATAATCTATGATTCATCAGACAGTGGTTTGACTTCTTCAAAAACTTCTTTGCTAATAAATTCAAAGTTTTAAAGCTTAGTGATGCATTCCAAGCACTGCTTTTTTGATAATTTCCACCATGACACAATCAGAAAAAAAGGTGGAATTCTTCAGCACATGTGTGAAACAGTGTTTTTTGGGGTTTTGACCCAAGGGTCTGCAATATTAGCCCAGTCAAACAGGAGTATGGTCCCAAAGAAAGTTTCTAGGAGACCATACATACTGCATGGCCATGAGAAATTCCTCTTAGTCATGAAGATTTTACAGACTCTATGGCTGAGAGGAACCCATCTTGGTCATGGAGTCTGTATGGTCTCCATGGCCAATGACCTACCCCCTTCCCCTCAAAAAAATACTAGCAGAATTTGGTTTCCAACCCCCAAACCTCCAGCAGGCTTGAATGAACAACTCTCAGAATTTCTCAGTCCCAAATTTGTGTCCACTCCTGGAGATCAACAGGGGACACCCTCTCTTTGATTTCTGCCATAATTGGGAGTTGGAAATCCAATTTCTGGGAGTTGTAACTAAGACCCTTCCTGAATAAGTGGATGAAGAATCTATTAATTATCATTTCATGTTACAATAGAACACAATTCTTTTTAACAT